GGGAAAGAGGATTTTAATTATAAGAAAAACTTGAAAGATTACTAATGACTGTGTGAATGATGATGAACTGTGTTTTTTGCAAGAGCATCAGGAAGAAAGAAGACTTAAAGCAGCACCTGTGAGACATGTAAGTTTATTTGCAGTGGTGAAATGAAGATGTTAAAGATTACAGCAAATTTCTCAGGAAGGTAACAGTTAAAGATATTTATCCTCTTCTTCCCACACTGTTTCAGACAAGCAAGAAACTTAGGGGACATATCTCAAAGTTCTGAGGGCAATAATCACTCAGCTGGGCTTAAACTGGCTGTTTAGAAGAGATATGTTCTCCAAAAGGTCTAGCAAAAACCTTGTTTGCATTCCATCAGGTAAAGGACTGTTTCAGAGTTACTTTATAAAAAAGCAAGCTGTATTTCAATTTTTTTTTTGAGGCTGACATTCTATTTTTCAGCTGTTATTTTCCTTAAAAACAGTTTAAACGTAAGATTTTCTCCAACAGCATGGCTATGAATGTGGCCTTTCCATGAAGTATTAGTACAGAAAGACACAGGTAACGGTGTTCTGTTTTTCCTCACTCTATTGAATTATAGAAAGACATCTGTATAGTAAAAGGAATAGAAAGTAGAAAGTTGCCTAACTTTGACCAGTATCTGAAGGAACCTTGTCTTTATTTTTCCATTGCACATCCACACTTATTAAGGAGACTGCTGAAGTGTCTATGGGTAATGCATAGGACATAACTGGGCATTTCATTTGGAAATGAAAACACACATCACATTGCATTGCTGAGTAGAATTTCCAGTGATTTCTACTGAATGTTCCAGTGTCCTCCTATTCCACATTTTTAAACAGGTTTCTAGAAGAGAAATTAATGCTGTGATTTAAACAAACACAATAAATGTATATCAGTTGAAAAAAAAATATTTTTAGCAACTGCGCAATAAAGAACAAGGATCGACGGGTTCTAAATGGCCTAAATAGGTTCTTCCAGCTTCCGTGAATGGAATGTAACAAAGATATACTTCTAGATTCAGAACCTGCAGATATGACTGTAAAAACTGCTGAGCTGGATACGTGATGATGCCATTTGGAATGAATGGAGGAGGCCATCAGAAAATATGGGTCCTCTACGTCAGGGGACCTGAAGCTCCAGAAGCAATTGTGTAAGAAAATTTGTGGTTGTCATTCTTTTTTTTGCCTCTGAGAGAGGTGAAAACTGTAGCTTAGCGCTTACTCTCCCATCGGTTCCAAGTGCATCTCCACTGCACTCAAGATGTGTCTTGTGCCTTTTCTGCTGGAACTGCAGCTGCTTCTGTTGGACTGATTGCAAAGCCGTGTAGCTCAAAAAAGCTGTTGTAACTTACATAAGATTTGACAGATGACACTGTGTGCTATTAAGGTAAGGATAAAATACAGAATAACTTTTGCTCTGGCAAAGAGTTTGTTGCCTTGGTCTTGGACCTGAGGTAACACCTAAACACAGTAATTGATTACAGCTTTTTAATTTTCCCATGCATAAATCATAAGTTCAAACTAAGGACTTGGAAAGCAGTGGAAGCTTACTGAGACATTCATATTTTAACACAAAAAAATAAGGTCTAATTATGTTTGTTGGAAGTGTACAGAGTTTTTTCCAGCCTCTTGTTTAGACTGAACTCTTCTCGCATTGACTAGGTAGAGGATTTCACCTTAGAGAGTTGTCAGTCTGCCATCTTTCTGAAACACTGCACACATTTAATGTGAAATTTGTTTCTCTGCAAAGGTCCAACACGGCGTCTATGCTGCATCAGGTTGTGGACTAAGTAGTTAACCTCATATTTCAAACTATCTCCTCTTAAATGTAAGTCCTAGTTTTACCTAATGTTCCTAGACTTCAAGATTCTCTCAATGTAGAACATGGATCTGCTGACTATTCTTCTATCTCTGCTTCTTCTATCTGCTTTTGCACAATGTCAGTCTGTTGCCTGAATCTTTTGAGCATCTTCATTGGTCTATTTCTTAAATACCTTGAGAAGATGTAAAATTACAGAGAAAATTTATTTTCATGTTTTAATTTTTTTTTCCTAGCTAACAAATGTAACAAAATACGCAGCTATAAGTTACAAAACAACCTTTTTTTCCTTAATGGTGTCAGAGACAGCTACTAAGTATTCTTCAGCAAAATGCTAGGCTCTTGGATCTGTGTGGCAGGACATCTCTGAGAGTGCTGATTTTTACTCATAAGACTGCTGTGAAATTTAGGGGGAAGTTCGTTGGGAAACATTGTATAAGAGAACTCTGAAAGGTACACCTCATCTAAACGAATCCTGTGGGCTTCTTGTACAAGTAACAGGGAGTGAGGTGCACTACAAGAAGGTGATTAATTCACGTGTCTCTAGACTAAATGGCACTTAATCACTTTTCTAGATGCCTCATTCTCCGTAAGCAAATCTGTGACAATGACTTCTCACTAGACACATAATATTTTGATATTAGGTTAATCTTAGCCTTTCCTCGCCCCTGGGTGTGTACTAACACAACCTCACTCAGTTCAGTGCACATAAGTTGTTTTACACCAGGTGAGAGTCTGATTCTCTCCATCCTGCCCTGCCCCTGGTGTTCTAACAAACATTCAGGTGAAACATGTACTCTCAGTATGACCAGCGCTCACCTCTTTGCTGTATAATAGAGTTACTATAAATACTTTCTATACAGACCCTACCCAAGAGCATAAATAGGAACAGTGATAATTACAATTTTTTTTTAAAAAATAACCTTAAAATCCTTGATCATGGTGCATCAGCAAAAGCACAGAACAACAACAAAAAATTCTACATGCAACAAGAACTAAATCATAGAATCATAGAATCATAAAATCATAGAATACTTTGGGTTGGAAGGGACCTTTAAAGGTCATCTAGTCCAACCCCCCTGAAATGAACAGGGACATCTTAACTTTAACAGACTAGGTTA